CGAATAAAAGAATTGAATGTCGGAATACGGTGATTATTAAAACTGGAATAAAACAGTACATGCCAATTAGGTCATTCTTGAAAGTTTTTTGATACTATCAAACGCGGGAGACAAGATATTGGAAGTAAAGTCATTGAATTTAAAGTCAAATGCATTTTTCTTTCTCTCCTTTTTCGAAGAAAAAAATAAACTGTCCAAATTGAAATGTCTGGTTTCAATGAATAATTTGAGATGCGATTAATGGACAGGAAGCCATCTGTTTAAATATTGTCCGAAGATTCGTAAACAACGATGAAATTAATAGTCACTATGCCTCTGTAATTAAGCCAAGACTTTTTTTTTCACTAATACCATCTGCAACTTTCCGAGGAGGATTATTGACGTATAAAAATAAAAATCTTTTTAATGGTATTTTCTACAGCTAATTTTTTTAACAGTTTTAACATAAGAGGTTTTAAAAAAGGTTAGATGACATAACAGACGGCAAGAAGAGAAATTTAACATATGGCTGAAAGAAAAATTAGAGCCTGCTACTAGTGGAGGGAAAGAAAAATATAAGAGAAAACAATTCAACAGATCCTTAACAAACCTCGGATCATTTCTCTGCTGCTCTTTGCCAAACATTAACATCAAATAATCCATTTTAAGCATTTGTGATGTAAAGTCTCCATGGAAATCATTATTGACAGCAAAAGGTTGACTTGCTCAGATTATTTAATGCCCAAAATCATAATTATTAGAGGAGACTGGTTATGAAAAGCGGCAAACATCAATGATAAAAACAACAGTGCTGCAGTTTATGTTCAAAGCACCGTGAAAGTGCACAATCCTTTGTTTTCTGTTGGCAAATTGTTACGGAATAAATTAATGCAACGTTTTTATTGGTCAATACAATCAAAATGATAGGAATTCTTTTGAACGTTGTGCACTTTCAGGTCCACAAAAACATATAACAAAGGAGTCTGACGGGTTTCATAACCATTCCACTCAATTAACTATGCCAAAATATTTAGAATTCCGTACAAGAAAATGTAGCATTTAGTAAAATTTTTTATTCTGATAGAAGTTTTGATGGCGAGCATCGAGATCCTCCTCGAAATTAACTTCTCTTGATAAAATGGCACGAACGTTACTGATTGAGCCGACTTTAGTTCATGCGCTTGTTAATTGAACCATTCCACCTTCATTTTCACATTCATATTGTGGTTTTACAAACTACAATGGAGAATATGGAAAACCCTTCGCTTTGCATGTCTCTGAAAACATTATTGTAATGGGCCTTATCCTAGATTGTCCTCTGCGGTAGATCAAAGGAATAAAACAAAAACGTTTATAATTATGCGGCTTCCGACGGCAAGTTATCTTAATTAGTAACCTTTTCAAATGTCTTATTAATAAGTCTTAACACTGACCACCCGACAATGATTTAATGCTTGAGGTATCGCAGGAAAAAAATAGTAAAAAATGGGACGTAAATTACCAGTAGCTTCCGTTTTCGGTGTAAGAACGTAGAGTTGCTTCAGCCTCTTAACATCAGTTGGTTAACTACAGGAATAAAAAAAGGAGAAAGAAAAATAACTTTTCCACAGCATGCTAACAAAAGGAAAAAAATTCTTACGTATTTTTATTACTACTTTTGATCTCTAAATAACGATGGCTAAAATCCGGCTTACATAAACCATTATAGTATTTGTTACTCAACAACGATTCTCACTCGTGAGCTTAGGGGTACTTACCTATGGGGAAATCGCTTATCGCAAGGGGATGTGGCGTTTCCAAGGAGAATACTGGTTGCATGGAATCACGGGTTCGCTCATTCATAGACCCCACAGCTGTGCCAAGCTGATAGCCCCAGTAAGGGCGAAACAGCTGTCCATGGCTGCCACCGCCGGGGTGATATGGTTGTACGCATGCGTAAGGAAATGACCATACCGCGGAGTTGTTACGTGTGCTTCAGTGCTAAAACCGGCATTGGTTCGTCTTGGCCTGTTTGAAGTTCTCCGAGGTTGAAAGATGTCTAGTGTGAATAGAGGAAAAATAAAAATAAAAAGAGTTAAATTAGTTTACAATAATATGGACAAAAAGGCAAAATACATAAACATTTAAGATCATATAGTGGGTAGTCGTGACGTATAGTTTCTAATTTACAATTTGATTCTATGATTTTGCCTACACCACGCTGCGAGGTAGGTTTTAAGAAGAGCTTTTTGTTAAAACTAATATTTCGAACGGACGCAACTTATGGCTGATCTCCCGTCATATTGCTTATCAACTTCATTCCAAGGGTTTGGAATGAGTATGCGGCGTTCTTAAAAGTAAGTATTTAAAAGGACTGTCACTTTTTACTGGAATGTATAGAAAAAGGGTACAAGATTGGGCCTCCGGAAGCCGGAATCTATAAAACTTTTTGGTAAATTCCCCCCGTGGGCAGTCTCCCACGCAAATGTTCTTTGGACATTGAGGAGGAACACGTCAAGAATTCCTAAGAACGTCTGCGTGGGAGGCTGCTACTCCTAAGGTACACCGCATATGTTTACTTACACTTGCCCTAAACGAGAAAGAGTTTGAATATTTATATTCAGATCAGCGCAGCAAATTTGAGCTTTCTCGAAACTTTTAAAAACTAACAAAATATATATAACGCCGTTCAGTTCGTCAAAAATACTCTCTTCTCGGTGTTTCATCTGGTGATAAAACATGGACACTGCGTCCTATGTTTTATATATTACGTCAAAGCCGCCACCAAATTTTCAGATAGGGAACAATAATGAGGGGTTATGTAATGTATTCCCCTAATTTAACAAGGATAAATCGATGGACCGTACGTGCTTCTCTCGAATTCTACCGACACGTAGTTTTACGCGGGGTTGTATCAATCTTTACGGAACATGACATTTTAATTAAATAAACTTATTCTGAATGTATGGATGGATCGTATATCTTCCATATGAATTCCTTGCTCGTTGTTTTAGGCGCGCTAAACACCCAAACGAGCGAATGCGTGCAAAACCTTATCAAAGAAAAGTTCCCCATGAACTCATGAATTAAAAATTTGTATCATGATGAACGTTAATTTGTATGAAGATGTCATTTGACCCTCATAATAAAAACATTTTTTTGCTGATCGTTCACAATTCATGAACTGCATGAATTCTTGCCAATGCTCCAGAGTCAGCTGACCGAAACCGCAACATGAGCATAAAACAAAAAATAAAAGACAATTTTCCGTCTTAAACGGGGTTCTACGAAGCGTGGTTCCGCCGTACTATTGTAAATTGTTTCGCGCCTTATCTTTTTCTATATAGCGTTTCACATGACGCCACTACCAGTCCAGTGGGAGTTAAACTCTTTAAACAACTTTCCGTTTTCTTAGCTGCTGTCCACGTGAGTGACAGCACTCCATTGATCGAATCAAGTTCCACGCCAAGATGGCTAGACAAAGTCTTGTGGATAGTTTTCTGGAAACGTATACGGATCCGAATTTTTTTAGTCATCCTTCCCATTTATTGACCTCTTATACCGTAAAGTCCCGGGGGGAGGGGGACTGGAAAAATAAGGGGAAGATCATTATACGTTTTTGGGAAACTGCCCTGCTTCCCCTTCCCTAGGTCAACATTAACACTTACTTCTCACTTAGGACATAATGTTGGCCTTTGGGGAGGGGTATGTGGGCAGTTTCCCAGAAACGTATAATGATCCAAGGGGGGTGGGTCACTGTTTTCATGCATGTACTGGGGTGGGCTTAGAAAAACCATGCATAATTAAAGGGGTGGGAATGTATGTTTTTTGCACACGTCAGGCATTAATTTGTTTCTTAGACAATATGCAAGTAAAACTGAGACATTATTCACAATCAAAACAAAAATCATAATAACTGCAGTTTAAGATAATATTCATACCCCAGCACAAAAGGGAATGTGTATTAGGACCACCTTGCCCTGGCAATTCCAACTTTCTTTTATCCAAACTATATAATTTTTTTCTCTCACCCCCCTTTCCTCCTTAATTTCCTATTCCCCTCAATGGGAGGGGTATAATATTTTCTGAAACTAGACCTTAGAAAAAGGAATTATCAAATTGACAAATGTAGGATCGATAAACTCTTGGAGTTGTGGAATAATTACTGCGTAGGCAAGACCAATACGATTTATGAACGCTAAAAGGTTCATGCAGAGCACAAGAACCCGCAGAAACAATTGACACCTATGCATCTGCACTTTGTACACTGGCTACCGTGTGCCTTTGGATCCCTAATGGAAGAAATGATTAGCGACCGACTCGCATGTGGTATTTCAGACAACGGACCACGCAAGAAGCTGCTGCAAGAAGCAGAACCGAGATTGGAGAAATGCATGAACTATTGTAGACCAGCTGAAGCTGCAAACATCCAGCTGAAATAGATCTCCAGCCACGGAGCAGAAGCAGTACATCATCTAAACGACTCCAAAATGGGGAGGGCACTGAGAGAGTGCAAATACTGTAGCAGAAAACATAAAAGAGGAATGGAGAAATGCCCAGGATATGGCAAGACCTGTACAAAGTGTTCCAACCAAAACCACTTTAGTTCTGTCTGCCTACAAACCGTTTCACTTACGACACCAAGAAAAGTACAACCCCAGAGAGACTTGCAGGAAAGCAAGCCTAAGGTACATGCGGTACACAAAGATTTGCAACCCTCATCTGAGGGTGAACTTTGGGTCCTGTCATTCGCTGAACAGGTCAAGAATTTATGCAGCCATGGAAATCGGGAACAAAACTTTTGAAATGCAGATGGACACTGGAGTATCCTGAAATGTCCCGCCCCACAGCTACTTGCCTGCTGATGCTGAAATCCAGAAAACAATGCGAAAACTTGTTACCTACTCCAAGTCCAAACTGAGAGTGTTGGGCACCGTCATAGCACCTGTGCGAAACCCACGAAACAACGTTGAGTATACTGAAGAATGTGTTGTGGTAGTTGATGTATCTACACCACTCCTCGGGGCTGAAGCGTGCATAAAATGAACCTGGTGGTAGTTCAGCATCAGGACACCTCACACTCTGACAGGTAGCCCTCAAAGGGTTCTGAGCTAGCCGAAGTGCACCGAAGTGCACAATATCAAAAGGCCTGACATGGGAGATTGTCCTATCAGAGGATGCTGACGTATTCAGGCTCCTGCCATGGGCAAGATGCGAGGCAGTTAAGCTGCACTTGGAAGTCGACGATGAAATGTCACCCGTTGTAATGCCTCCTTTGCTTGTTCCCGTAGCAGTTAAGGTAGAATTGAAGGAAGAACTTAATCCCCTTGAGAGCCTGGAAGAAATCAGAAGAGAGTATGAGCCTACAGAATGGGTGGCTAGCATGGTTGCGACTCAGAAGCTAAATGGAAAGATTAGGTTTTGCATCGACCAACAGCACCTAAATCAAGTATTGAAGTGTCGACCCCACCCACTACCTGTGGTGGAGGATATTTTGCCAGAGCTATCCAAAGGGAGAGTGTTAAACAACTTGACGAAGAGCACAGCAAGCTCACGACATTTCAGACCCCTAAGGGAAGATTCCGATGGCTCTGTATGCCATTTGGTATCTGCCCAGCAACCAAGTGTTTCCAACGCCAGCTCGACCAATGCCTTGAGAGACTTAAGGGGGTGTATATAGCCAAAGGGATACTGATGAAAAGGCTGACCTTGACCATGATCAAAACCTAAAGAACCTTTTAGAGCGTTGTAGAGCAAGAAATATCAAGCTGAACACGGAGAAGTTCCAGTTCAAAAGCATTTATCACCGGAAATAGCTTTCTATTTGAGAAATAATTCTTCATCCAGGAGTAGAGTTGGCCGTCAGTGCCGAACTGCCTGTGTAATTGGACAAATTCTTTTTGTTTTAAATGCTTTATTAATTATTATTTTCGTTTTCGTCGAGACTCGACGGGCTAACTTCAAATTGATTGATGGTGTAATTAACTTTACCAAGCTTTTCTTTCTTTTCGGCGTCTCACCCCTATCCAAGTTCCTTTGAGATCTGGCAACTTCTGCATACCGTATAAACTCGAGGGGAGAGAAGAACAGTACGGCCAAGCTGTTAACTGATAGAGGCCTTTTGAGACGCATTTTTGCCAGTTTCAGTCTATTTTTCATTAAACTATTTGAGGGTCTCAATGGGGTGGTTAAACTTCTAAATTATCGTCTTCTTTTTACTTCAACACTATACAATTGTCTACCTCCAAATCTATTTTTTTAAAAAAGCGAATAATAGTCACACGCTCAGCAGAGGGATAAAGAACTATGGGCAGAGACCGATTAAAACGCTGCATAATTGAACGGAGTGGATATTACCATTCGAATAAGTCAAATGGGTATCATCAGCATACATTCTTGGCACAAAGTGAGACAGACAATTGGGCAAATCATCGATATATAGCAAAAACTGTAAAGGCCCTAAAATTGTTGCCTACGGAATACCACACTTGAGGGTGCAACATTCTGAAAGGGAACCATTGACAACGCTTTTCTGAGTACGATTATCTAAATAGGAGGAGAACAATTTATGGGAAACACCTGTTAGACCATAGGGATTTAATTTAGACAATAGAGTGTGGTGGTCGACTGTGTCAAACGCTTTCTTAAGGTCAAGGAAAACAACAGCGTTAACATTACCTATATCAATATTATAGGCCCAAGTATCGGTTGCGTCCAATAAGGCTGTAACTGTTGAATGAAGCGTGCGGAACGCAGATTGGTGCTTAGACAAAATAATATGATCTGATAAATAGGCAAAGAATTGATTATATATAATTCTTTCAAATACTTTTCCAATTATAGAGATACTGAAATTGGACGATAATTGTCTATATCGCTTCTTCGCCATGCTTAAATAGAGGAGTAACCCTCGCAAAAGCCACATGGAAGGGTCTTACCGTATTTATTCGATTAACCGCCCTGGGCGCTTATTAAATTTTTGGACCTTGAGAGTGGGCGCTTATTCGAGGTGGGCGCTTGTTCGAGGCTGGGCGCTTATTAAATTTTCACCATTTTCAGCAAGTGAAGTATGTTTATTTTGCAACAAAACAATAAATGCCACTAACAAAACGCGAATAAGTAACAAAGCAAGGTTTCTATAAAATACTCTGAAGAAAACTCCGTCCTCGGGGAAGTCTCTGATTAGAATTTATTCACTCAAGTGGGTGGGGTGGGGGTGAACGCTTATTTGAGTTTGATTGGGAGGAGGAGGGGGTGAGCGCTTATTCGAGGTTGGGCGCTTATTAACTTTTTCTGCCTTTAAGATGGGCGCTTATTCGAGGTGGGCGCTAATTCGAGGTTGGGCGCTTATTCGAATAAATACGGTAAGCAGCTTATTAGCTCTAAGCGTAGTAAATTGTCCTTTCCAAATAGTTTAACAGTAGATGGTAACACCTTAACTGACGCCAAAGGTATAGCTCATGCCTTCAACAAATATTTTGCCTCAGTTGGGCCAATGTCGGCCAATAGTATTCAACTTGGTAATAGAACCTTTGTGGAATATTTAACAAATTCACAATGCAACAGTTTTTATTTTTCACTAGTATCAGCAACAGAAGTTGAGAATATCATTTCTAGCTTAAATAAAAGTAAATCACTGGGGCCACATAGCATTCCAGTGAAAATTCTTAAATTATTGAAGAGCATCTTTGTGTTATCTATTATCTTATTTTTTTAATTGTTCTTTTTCTTTAGGCTTTAATAGTGCCAGATAAGTTAAAAATCGGGAGAGTGATACCCCTATACAAAAGAGGTAACCAGCCTTTAGTATCCAATTATAGACCAATTACTTTGTTATCGCCCCATGTAAGGGAATCCGGATTCCGGAATCCAGGAATTTTTTGCTTGTGGAATCCGGAATCCTGGGCTTTGGAATCCGGAATCCAGCACTAGGGATCCGGAATCCTACTAAAGATTGGAATCCAGAATCCAACTTACTAAAGATCCATTCCTGATTGGATTGAGCTACTCGCTCGAAAGAAGAACCATCTATGGAAAGCCTCCCCAGGGTATATGCCTCAACGTGATGACATACAGTGTAATATCGGCATATCTGGTGTCAAAACCATAGTTGACAAGCTCCATATGAAAGGTCACGGTCAGCGGGGGAACCCTTGCTTATGAGCGGCTGGCAGGATCACAGAATTCGGGGGTTTTCGAGGGAATACAGCGCAGCCTTTTTAAGGTATAAATTGGATTGTTGTGAATAACTTCAATCTCTGGCTATGTTTGATTCTCTGTTGTTCACTCGCTTCGCTGAACTTAAAAAATCAAAAGCGATTTGACCTGGCATAGGACCGGAAAAGGTGCACCTGGGGTGAACCTTTTCTTGAACCTTCCTGGTCCTCTCCTGGTCCTCCTGGTTCTCAATTGAAAATAAACTTCCACTTTCAACATTTTACCAAAAAAGAAAAAAAAGAAATTCACAGTCTCTTAGTCCCTAATTTGGTCCTAGTAGTTGCGGTAAGAACAGTTTCATGGTTTCGATAATCTTTATTTGGGAAATAAGCTAGGTACTGTCAGAACCGTACCAATCAGCTGTCACTAAAGTAATAGTAATCACGTGCAAGGCCGCGGTGGGTGCCTTTTTCATTCATCCCCGGCATTCGAGTGAAATCTCGCCACCTCATCGATGAGACGAGCCTTTTGAAGTTTGTTGTCTGTTGAATTTTTCTTTTCTACCTTATTAAACAAGAAAAAGAAAACGTTATGGGAAAGCACAAGCAAAAACAAAAGGCTGAAAGAGAAAGGTACGTGCAATACTGTGTTGTGAAATTTTATACCAGTTTTTAGCTGACTGATAGATCTAAACGTGCCAAAGGCAAAGCTGCATGAATTTTCGTTTGTGTCGATCTGTGGACTGTAACGTGGCGGTAAGCAAGTCACAAACATGAACGAAAAATTGATTTTTTTTCTCAATCATAATTGAATGTGATATGAAGTTTACGTCGTCCGTGGAGAAAATATCGTATAAATGAGCGCTATATGGTTGTAAAACGCTTAAAACTAGCCAACGCGTAAGAAACGCTTAAGTCTCTCTTCATCTCTCAGTCATCTCAGTCTCGGTCGAGGAACAGACGGATTTTTTATGTTTTCTTTCTACAGTTGTGTTCCCGAATAGGCCTCGTTCACATTGAGGTCGCTTTTGGAAATTAGACCGATCTGAGATCGGTTTAGTCCGTAACTTTTTTTGTTAGAAATGGATCCTAGAGACCCCAGACCATCTCAGAGACCCAGATCTCTTATTGACGAAGCCGAAGGCGAGATCTGGTCAAATCCGATTATTGCCCGTCAGGAATGTGACAGGCGATGAAAGAGCGCATGCTCGAAATAAATCCTCACTTTTCGACATCTTAAACAACGAATTTGATAGAGCCGTGAAGTCTTTTTTCTAACAAAACGTGGTTATACGCACATCCTAAGTATGAAACAACTATTGTTTTGTTGTTTTTGGTCTTTTTAACATCAAATTCAACCGCGACAGTTAGTTTGAATTTCATTATCATTGAGCGCGCTAAAACCTCAAAGCAGTACGCGTCAACTTCTACGCGAGAATTTATACCCTCTTCAAAAGTCTTTATTGACACGGAGAGAGAGTTTTAAAAAGTCTTAAAGGATAAGATAAAAATGGTTTTCCAAGATTTATTGAGACGGAAAACTACTCTTTAGAGAACGGAACCCAAGACTTTAATTTGCAAAGAATGAATTGCACACGCCACAGCGTATTTTTATTTGGCCAGTAACTAATAAAACGAGAAACCAGGCAAAAAGAGACAAAACGACCTAAACGATCCACAACGATAAAAAATAATCGACAAAAGATCCACAACGGGAACGCGTGACGAACCCCTAAGAACGTCTGCGTGGGAGGCTAGTAATTTTGTAAATCGAAAAAGAAAACAAACTTGTTATGCCCTCTAATAACGCCTTTCAATATGGCAAGATTCGAACACGAAAACAAAGTGCGAAGAAAAGAATTAAAACCTGAAAAAAATGGAATCCACCTCTTTTTGGAATCCGGAATCCACTGTGCTGGAATCTGGAATCCAGTACCCGGGATCCGGAATCCACAGCATGGAATCCAGAATCCAAGACTGTCCTGGATTCCCTTACATGGGGCGATTGTTATCTGTTTTTCTTAACATAATGGAGAAGCTCATGTTCAATAGATTAGTTTATTTTTTTGATAAACATAATGTACTAGATGATAATCAATTTGGTTTTCGTAGTGGACGCTCCACTACTCAGGCTTCTATGCTTATCACTGATAAAATCCAAAGAGCCATTGAAAACAAAATATACTCCTGCGGGATATTTTTGGACTTACGAGCCAGTCTCTGTAAGATCCTCATATCGAGTTTTGCCTACAAAATAGATTTCGCTCGTAAT